ATGATGATGATGATGATGAAGATGATGATGTTTGTGATGTGATGATGATGTGGTGATGAAGATGATGATGGTGAGGATGATGGTGGTGATGATGATGATGGTGATGAAGATTACGTTGGTGGTGGTGATAATAATGATGATGTTTGTGATGATGATGATGATGGTGATGAGGATTACGTTGGTGGTGATGATGATGATGATGATGAAGATCATGGTGATGATGATGATGATGATGATTAAGTTGGTGGTGATGAACCATGAACCTGTGTCTCCGCCCACAGAGCCTAAACAAAGCCAACAAGGAGGGGATGATCGGCAGGAAGTTGTCGGATCACAAGTTAAGTCACCGCTCTGATGGAGAGTGGCTCCACCTGAAGCCCCTGAATGAAGGTGAGGATTATGGGTAAATCCACAGAGGCAGCTGAGGGTCACGGTGATGTTAGAACCTCTGCTTCACCTCCTCTTCCTCCTCCTCCTCCTCTTCCTCCTTCCAGACCCCGACGGCACGGCCGTGTCATTTGACAACGGCTACAACGACACGCAGCTGACAGACCCACAGACTCCGGACTCTGCCGCCAACAGGACGCAGCAGGAACTGCAGTCACCCTCGAGGGAAAACGAACGCAAGGTCAAGAAGCAGGGTCAATGACACTCGCACGGACACGGACACGGACACGGCGGGAACTGCCACTCGGACCAGGAGATGAAGGACGCTGGGATAGCCAGCATCGCCTGGATGGTCATCATGGGCGATGGCATGCACAACTTCAGCGACGGCCTGGCCATAGGTGAGACCGGAGTCTATGACACGGATGGTCGTATTTTTACAACAGAAAAAACAGTGGTAGAACTCGGTACTGCGTCTGAGGACAGTCAGGAAAGGTTGAAAGATAAAAACTAACTCATCGAAAATAGTCATTTTTCAGAGGTGATAAAAAAAAAATTCCAAACAGTCATTTATTGGTTATGTATTTTAACGCTAGTTATTCTTGTTAAAAAAAAAAAAAAACTTTTTAAAGTAGTTTGTCAAAGTTTGTTTGTGCAGATGAATATGTTCTTATTTACCAGACGCCACAGTGAGAATTGAGTCAATATTTTAGTATAATTAGGCACAAAGTATTTTTTTTAAAAAAGGAAATACATCATCATACATCAGTACTAGAATATAGAGTGTTGTATATATGTGTATATATTTATATATGTAATGCAGATATTCATATTTTCCTAAATGTGAAAGTGTTATTTTGCATTTTAGTCCATTCACTTAAATGAGAACATTATTTAGAATTTAAATTACAAAATTAAAAATTAATTGAAATGTATACATATGTATTATTTTTGATATTTATATGGAGTAAAACTTGGTCCAAAGATGAGATTTTCTGTCAAACTGGAACTGTTTTCCAAACACTTCTTCTCTCTGACTCTGTGACCTTGACCGTGACCTTTTAGGCGCGGCCTTCAGCGCCAACCTGACGGGAGGCATCAGCACCTCGGTGGCCGTCTTCTGTCATGAATTACCTCATGAACTCGGTGAGTGATGGAGAGGAAAACACACACACACACACACCTCAGGCTAAATTCATACGTTTGATAAACAGTACCGTGTCGATGGTATCGGTACCGTCACCGTCACCACAGCCTCTCCTCCTCCTCCTCTCTCCCCTGAGATGAATCCAACCAGACGTCCCGACGCGAGACGGTGAAAACGAGCCGAGAAACTGAGAATCTGTTGCTCCTCGCAAACATGCGCCTCCTTCTGTTGATGAAGATAATTGCTTTTTGTGTGGCAACAGTGAAGCGGTGTGTGTGAACACGTGGCTGTCGGTGAGGACGCACGCCACACCTGGTACAAACTGTTCACTACAGACGGAGTCAGGAACCGACAGCTGCTGCCGCGGCTGTTCCTTTTTACACCCAGTCACTGAGGAGGGTTTTTATACTGCACTGAGAGGACAGAGGGAAAATGGCGCCACCTTGTGGGTGTTCCTTTCTGGGGGAAACCGCCAGGTACTGGAGTTGTTGTTGATTAGTACGGCCGCTAGGGTGTTCAATCCGGCCGGCTTGATTAATTAAAAGAAATTAAAAAATAAACAAACACTTCATATTTGGGATATTTGTTGTAAAATTATATTTCAGTAAATATAAATAAATAATAATAAAAATAAATATCTCATATACTTGTACTTATTTGCATGAAGACAAGGAGGAAAAAGTTTATTAGTTTCTCAGTGAGACGTCCTTCCTTTTCCACATTTATTCACCGTCTCTTTGACGGGGACATGTTACAGAGAACTGTCTGTGGGACGTCCCAGGCGTGGACAGATTTGTCTTTAAACGGCCGACCCAATCACTCCCTCCTGAACGTTGAGCCGCCGCCGTCGTCACGGCGACCGGAGACGGAGCCGAGTCCCGGCG